TTTACTGTTTCAATACCGTGTGTGTGTGTGTGTGTGTGGTTTACTGTTTCAATACCGTGTGTGTGTGTGTGTGTGTGTGTTTGCGCGCACGCACATAACACATACCAATCCTGGGGTACAGCCTGCCTTTGAGCTTTTTTGCTCAAGGCTAGCATTCTACCATTAGAGCCATAACTCTACTTCCTACTTTTTGGTGGTTGTTTGGAGATGAGTCTCATAGACTTTTCTGTCTGGGTTGCTTCAAACCATGATCCTCAGATCTCAGCTTCTTGAGTAGCTAGGATTATAGGAGTGAGACACTGGCACCCAGCTAGTAAGTGGTATTGGAAGCTAGCAAAGGTAATTTTTTTTTGTGTGTCAGTCCTGGGACTTGAACTCAGGGCCTGGGCACTGTCCCTGAGCTCTTTTGCTTAAGCCTAGCACTTTATCACTTGAGCCACAGTGCCACTTCCAGCTTTTTCTGTTTATGTGGTACTGAGGAATCGAACCCATGCATACTAGGCAAGCATGCTTCCACTAAGCCACATTCCAGCTGGGAATTTTTTCTTTCTTTCTTTTTTTTGAGGGCTGTGTCTAATTTCTATTCTACAAATATCTACATTGTTCCTCTACTCCTGGGCACTGCACTTATTGGAGTGGGTGGCCTAATGTCAGGTGGACCCCTTCCTGGGCTAATAGCATTTAACCTCTCTATCCCCTTCCCTTTAAGTCTAGACATGGCGAGTTCACCAAGTTTTCTTTTTTTTTTTTGGGTCCGGTCATGGGGCCTGAACTCTGGGCGTGGGCACTGTCCCTCAGCTCTTCAGCTCAAGGCTAGCGCTCTACCACTCAAGCCACAGCGCCACTTCCGGCTTTTTTCTTTTTGCTTATGTGGTGCTGAGGAACCAAACCCAGAGCTTCATGCATGCAAGGCAAGTGCTCTACCACTGAGCCACTTTTCCAGCCCCTCACCAAGTTTTCTATACACCACTCTGCACTTGGAGGCACCCAGAGCTGAGTGGTTAAGAGCTTGGACTCTGAAGCCAGTTCCTAACACCCAGCAAGTTTGTGACCTTGGGCAAGTGTCTCCACTCTGTGGAGTGGTCTGGAATGATAAATTGTATCTTCTGCATAGGGAGTGAGTACTGTAAGGATTAAATGAGGCAAATGTATCCAGTGTTTGGAACAGAGCCCAACACACAGTAAGCATTACACAACTGTTAGCTATTGTTACTGTCAGAGTCACATGGCCTTGGTTTGTTTGTGGAGGAGAGTCTATTTCCTAATGAATAGTTCAGAATTTGAGGCATCCTTACCCTCTGGGTTGCCACTGACACAGGTGGAATAGGCTTCAGGGCCTGGCTGGGAGGAGATCTCTTGGGCAGAATAGGCAGTGGTTGGCCTAGTTGGTCTCTTTAGCTTCTCTGAGAAGAATAAGGAGAACCACTCAGGTCTGGTTGAACTCATTCTTTCCCTTTTTTCTAAACAAGGTTCACTAGGCTTTATAATCCCCTCTTCTTACTTTTCAAAAAGAATATGTGAGTTGGGTTCACATCTGTATGTAATCTTAGCTATTTAGAAGGTTGAGGAGGATCATGGTTCTTAGCCAGCCCAGGGCAGAAAATTCTGTGAGACTCTGTCTTCATTTAACCAGCCAAAAACAATAATAGCTGCATGGCTTAGGTGATAGAACACTAACTGAGTAAGCAAGCCCAGTGAATACAAGACCCTGAGTTCAAACCCTAGTACCACCAAAAAAAATGGTTTGAGTTGTCATAATTGAATGAAGAGGTGTTTAATTAGTAGTGGAGAAGCAAGAAGGGGAAAAGGAAATATTAGAAAATATTCTGAAGGTTAGGGACTACAGAGGTGGGATTGTGGAAAGAGAAGCCCTCTTAATATGAAGGCAAAAAACAAAGGTTTTAAAACTGGACCATACAGATTCAAACCCTTGTGCAGCAGTTCCTCTTCTTCCTCCTCCTTCTTTCTTTTCCCTCCTTTCCTCCTCCTCCTCCTCCTCCTCTTCCTCCTCCTCTTTTTCCCCCTCCTCTTCTTTTTTTTTT